AGATTACTACTGAAAGAAGGAGTGTCACCATTTTATGATTTATAGTTCTATTTTTCCTTTATAAATTGACAAAAATCATTGAAATTGACATTTTGCGTGTTTGGAGATTATGCAGTATTATTCTTAAACGTGCAATTACTACTCAATGTGATATAATGTTCTTAAACTACATTTTTCTAATCGCAGTTAATTTAATATACCTCACTAGGTATATATTAAGTTTCTACAACCGTACTTAGGCCTAAGAATCTAATAAATGAATTCTATCTTCTACACTCATTGAGCAAAATTAAATATAATATTTTAATGTTATAATTTTCATCAAAAATCCTTAACGTGAATAAATTTTTATTACTTTCTCAATTGCTTCGTTGAATACTCGTACTTTTGTAGTGTTATTGTAAAATTTTAATTGCTTTTCAATTTGTACGTAGATAATGAAGCAGGCTGATATATTTTTAATTATTATTCCTTAGAATAGAGTTCAAAATCGCATATCAAACTGCCTCATGTTTACATTAAATACATATAAATCTTATATTAACGAAATTAACACAATTGTTACCTTATTCATTGCTTATCAAAAGTCACTTGGCGGTAAAATAATAACAAAACACGTTCAAATACAAACTTCATAAAGAAATCGACTAAACAATGGACTAGAATCGAATGAGATGTTTTACATAGTACATCAAAACTTACCTACATAGCGATAACTTACAAACAAGCTTACAATAATGATTCTAAGATAACTAAAGAAGTGAATTATCAAATACTTATTCACAATAAAAATGGAGTTCTATAAAAATACATCTCTTCGAATATTCGCATTCATTGCTTATCATTCTGTGTCTTAACAACCCTACCGATCCTCAAATAACACACTTAACACTATGGTAAGATACTTGAAAATTGTGAGAAGAGTAAGTGGCACTTACGTCACTTTAGAACTGAGAAGTTAGTGAAACAATGGCTTTAGTCTACTGTTTGTAACTTTATTATATCGCTTCATTGTCGCTTTATTTTCGAAGGACTCTCTGTTTGTTATCTTGCACTTGTTTTTGTTAAAGAAAACTATAATAATATAAGGATATTGGTAGGTCGTATATTTTGGAATCCATACTAACTAACATATGATTTAATTAATGCAACAATTTTAATTTCAAAAGATATTGGTCTACGTGACCGGGAAGTTGAGGTAACGCGTCTCAAAAATGCTGGTAAAAAACGAAGTACCAACGTGATTTTTGTACACGTATGTTCCAAGTTCATATAGATAAACTTAGTATCATAATGTAGATGTAGATAAACTTAATATAATAAGATAAATATGCTGAAGTAAAGAAAGAAAAGAGACTTAAACTGTTAAATCATAAATGTGAAAGTATCAAGCCGCCTTGAGCAAGCATGGACTGGTGATTATTAGTCATTCTTTCTCCATCAGAGAAGGGCAGTACTTTTCTTCATTGATTTAAGGTTCATTTTTGCGTAAGTGGAGAACTGTAGACCTATTGTAATTGGAAGTTGGTGGGATTTTTCTTCGTACTTAATTCAGTAAACATAAACATCTTCGTCATTCATACGTCTTTACGGTGCTTATCTGAATTTAATAGACGGGTTCTTTCAAATATTTCATGTTCATTTCATGTTTTGTGGCAACTGGCATTCTTTGTCTGATTTTTCAATTTAGTTTTAAATGTGTCACTTAACATTACATCTTTTAATCCTTTATGGGGTAGGTCAAAAACTTTCGTCACTAAATAATATTTATTTTAACAAGTTGACTTAAGCTGGCTTTCATTGATTTGAATTCAGAACGATTCGATTTTTAAATTCAAATGTGTCTATTTGTTTTTTAATGGAAGACTTGAGTTTGTTAGTTTTTGGAAGATCAGGGAACAGATTAAAAATAGCTTTGATTGACAGTTGATACACCTGACAGATAGCGGGAAATAAGGAATATGTTGCACCCCTATTCCCAAGTCCCAAACTGTCAGTCACTAACCGCAAGGAAGCAATTGAATTATGTAATTGACGTCGATTATTACAATTAGCACTTACGTGCTTATGTAATAACGTTTAAAATTGTAATTATTTGTTCAAATATCTTTTCATGGAATTGTTAATAAATATTTTCTAGAAAATAAATATTGCAAGGAATGTTGTACTGGGTAGATAAAAGGGATTGGAAGTAGTGTACGTACTTGTATTTTTGTATTTTCTTATGTAATTACTTGTTTTGTTCGTCAAAGTACCAACTTACTCTTTTCACAAGTTTAAAATATGTCCTACAACTTACATAATTATGATTGGAACACGTCTGTAGCGGGCGCGGTGTACTTACTAATGGAAGAATCCTTTCGTTGATTCAAAATTCTTAATTACATTTCATTCATTTCCTTTTCAATCGTAATTATTTATTCGTGGAAATAATTTGAAGCGAGCTTTGCCCATATTTCGATTTAGTTGTGAACTGTATATTTCCATTATGGTACCGAATTCTACTAAGTAAAATTGTCTGGAGTTTAATAACTTTTAAGTCAAGCGGTACACTAACTTGAACTGTAAAGTGATTTACTAGACTTCAACTTTATACCAATGTTTTAAGGTTGATATTGTATCAAAATAGACCTGCTGAAACTTTTTACTAGATTTCAACTGTATTACAATTCTATAAGGTTGTTATTGTATTAAAGTTTGATTTGAGACACGTCAATGTGCTGTTTGTAATAAAAATAATAGTTTTGTTTGGGTATATTGAATAATTATAAGTTTTGTATTGAAACGTCTAAACTAATGAGATCGTACCTAATTTCTTCAGCTGCGCATTAAACCTCACACATCTTTGCAATTACGTATCAAGGATTCAATTTCCACATAAAAATAATCTTTGTGTGATAAACTAATTGTTGTACTGTGTCTGGGAGATGGTGTGTTTTTTGTGTATGACCCCCGACTAAGGTAAAATAAGAAATGTGGGGTCATTTGAGTACCGTCATTATAGACACAATTAAAGAACAATAGGTTGCGGTCACCGTTGTCCTCGCGGTGTTTGACAGTTTAAAAAAAATGTAAAACCTAATATTTGGTTGTGAATATTGAGAACATGTTAGTATAGTGAGAATCTAATAATTTTCGACATTTTACCTTGCCAATAGAGTCGTTTTCTCAATGAAAAATATGAAATAAGAAAATTCATAGAAAAGTATTCATTCATAGACCCAATACTTTTTTTACTTTTATAAAAACCTATTGGAATTTACTAGTTGGAACATTATTTATTGTGAAGTAGGTAATCGGTTTTGCTAAGAAATTTCTAGGAAATGATTTATGTACCTAAACTAAATAGGATTTTAATGTGACACAAAATTATAGAGTTCATTATTTTTACGTGAACTTAATTCCATCATTTTTTTTTTTTTGAAGGGGTAAAATCATCGAATGACTGCTCCCGCCTGGGTGAGGCGGGAGGGAGTGTCAGACTCTTACTGACTAAAAACTGTCGTCGTCGGGTTCCGTTCCCTCCCCGTGCTCGTCCTCGGGGACTTCAACGCCAAAAACTTAATTCCATCATAATTGTGCATACTTATAGTGGTAGAAATGTTTATAATTGAAAACAAAAGTGCTAATTATGATCATTCGACAAAATTTCTTTTACTGTCTTAATTTTTATGGATCAACAATCAAATTGTCTGCACTGTTAGCGCGGTGGTAAGCAACCGGCTGCCGCACAACTTGTAGCGTTTTCGATCCTCGCACGGAGCAACTAACTATTTGTGTGATATACAAATTGTTGTTTCGGGTCTGGTTGTCATAATAATGTGTATGAACTTGTATGGTTATGAACACACACACTCGGATTTTCTCCTGTGCCGGAGGAAATCCAAGTGTGTGGCAACGTTATTTTTTTTAATATAATTTTGTTAATAAGTTAAACAAAATAACTACCTACCTAATGATAATTAAATCAATCAATTTAAGTTCTTTATTATTTCAATGTAAGATTAAAAAGTCGGATTCTAGTGATATTTGTTTTGAATCCTACTATAACTTGATCATGTGTGTAATTGCTCAGACAGAAATGTAATTCCAATTGTGTGAGATCGTGCGTCAGCGGCAGCGCTGAACAGTGGTAATCTGTAATTGAATTCCTTTGATCATATCTAGTAGATAAATCTATAGTGTCAGATTGGGAATGTAATGTGTGAAGCTGAGCTAATATGTTACAGTAACCTACAGGTAATTACCCAACTTCTTAATCACACGTCCCGTAATTACGTATTGCAAATATCACTTAAATTCCAATTGCGTTAACTTCATTTAACTATATAGTTACAACAGCTTTTTACTAAAGATTGCAATTAGTCGCCAATCGGTAAGTACGTACGTGTGAAGTCGGTTGTGACCTAACGCTTGATGGGTGCCGCTTCAACTCGCCACGATGACGACAAATGACATATGAAAACACACCACACGAAGATTTTATTTGGAACGATATACACATTTATATGAATTAACACATCTTTCGAAGACAACATCAACAATTGTTAATTAGTAATTATATCACTACCTACGTTGAATTTTCTTGTTGTTGAATATTGACATCTATATTAGTAACGTTTTTCTTTTATTTGGACAAATGTAATATTTATTGTAATTGAACATTTACACAAATATGTTTTACAACAACACTGATAAATTTTATTGAAATCGACGGCGTCCCTTATCATGGTGGCGATACACGAACGTTTTCACGTGACATTCGTACCCACCCCGTCCAGCGAGCGGTGCGTAGTCCCTGGATTGCGCTGCGGTACTCCGGTTCCGTACCGGCGTGATTGCGGCGTTATACCGGCGTTGTACCGGCGAGATGCCGGCCGACGGCGGCGCGCGCCCGAGCAACAGTTTGGTCCTCCCGCGGCGCGCTCTACACTACGCTAACCGTCACACGCTAGTCGTGCGCCTAACTGCCCCTCTACACTCTTTACTTTATTGCTCTCTTTGTACCACAGCTCGACGGTTTCATTAAGTCTACGTATCACCGAACTACGACTAAAGTCGCACACCACACCCGCGACGCTAACTTACTTATACTTTACTATGTAAACGTTACCCTACGCTGTAACATTGCAGGCTCTTGCCATAAATTGACACGATTATTTCCGTCATTGCCGGACTAATAATTGAAAAAATACGTTTCATTATAATTTCACTTTTCATTAATTTTATCTTCTTTAAATTATGGAAAGAGCCATAACGATATTAGGTACATAATATTGCTTATTATTCACTAGACGCCGTCGAAACTACGAGCATCTACCCTATCAAATATCCTTTCTGGTAATATAAAGGTGTAAAGAAGTTCATAGAGAAAATGTTCGTTGCATTGATTGAAGTATGAGCGCGGCTTCACGTCACTCGTCCTCGTCGTCGTCGTCGTCGGAGCGCACGCATGCCGCCTCCTGGTGCTTGTTCAGGTAGCTCTTGAGTGCGAATGACTTGCCGCAGCGCGTGCACTCGAACTTCTTGTCGGACGAGTGCGTCTGCAGGTGCGCGCGGAGGTTCGACCGATCCGCGAACGCCTTGCCGCATGACGCGCAATTGTACGGCTTCTCACCTGTATGCGAGCGCAGGTGGCCGCGCAGCAGCCACGGCCGCGAGAACTGCTTGCCGCACACACCGCACACGTGGCCCATGCGGTGCGTCAGCACGTGCATGGCCAGCGCTGGCATGGACACGTACGCCTTGCCGCACTCGCCACACCGCTTGGCCGCCACCGAGTCCAGGCTGCGGTGCGTCTGCTTGTGGCGCGACAGATTAGATGAAGTAGCGTAACGCTTACCACATTCATTACAATCATATTTTCCAGACTTTTCCTTGGCCTGTGTAGCCAGAGGTTCACTGTCGGGTGCTATTGGCACAGGCTCGGGTGCGGGTGATGGTACCACAGCAGACGGTGCAGGCGCGGGGGGTACGGGCGCGGGTGGCACTGACACGGGTGGCACTGGTGTGAGCACTGGCGTAAGCACTGGTGTGAGCACTGGCGTGGGCTCTGACGCCCTGCGCTCATATTCAATTCTGTTAAAATCTGGGCGCGGGTGCAGCGGTGGCAGCGGCGGTGGTGGCGGCGGTGGTGGTGGTGGCGGGCCCACCGGCTGGCACTCGACGTAGCTGATATGAGTGTCAACGAACTCGACCGGTTGAAGCGGGGTGACAGTTTGCACCGTGTGGTACACTGGTTCAGGGGGCTCCTCGGCTAGGATGTAGATGTTGGTAGGCTGCAGCGTGTAGGTGTAGACGGGCACGAGCGGCGGCGGTTCGGGCGCGTGCAGCACGGTGACGAGGTGCGCGGCCGGCGGCAGCGGCGGCAGGCTGTGCGCCAGCGACAGCAGCTCGTGGGCTGCCTCTGTGTCCGCTGCCGACCGCTCCGACAGCGGCACGCCCAGCTCCGCATATTCACTGCGAGGCTCTGCGAACGAAAATTATGATGCAATTCCAATTTTAAGCTACAAAACATATGCAAAGTTAGTACACGGCCTTTAGATGAGTTAGAATTATTTAGTTAAATACCTATCAAAAATTCTAAATCATGCTGAAGAATGGTTCACAGATACCGTTAGAGGGATCTAGAATATGTAAAAAGCAATCAAGCTGTCAATGAGACCTAAAAGTTTAAACACCACTTCATTAATCGAGGGAACTTGAACCTAAAACTTCACACTACGAGTCTTGCCTGCTACCGGTCAATATTTATATTACTAAAATCAAAATCTAAGATCACTTCATAAAGAGTTGTAAAGTTAAATACGAAAGTAAATATTAACAAATACGGAATATAATATATTAGTCAAATAATAATCACTATTCAAGCACAAATATATGTGGCAATAACAATTGTTGCACATCAACAACTTGGGACTTGAACCCAAACTTTATCACAGAAAACTTTAAGAAGTAATTCTTCATTTTCGGGAATTGAACCCGCACTCCACTTATCTTCATCTATTAAAATGCAAAACGAAAATAAATATAATAATAATAGAATGATAATTAACTGTAATAGACTGCCATTGCACAACGGAGATCGGCAATTAATTGAAAAACTTTTTTAAGATCGCGTAAAAAGTTTTTGATCTCGCCACAAGTATCGTCAGCGACTCCCTGAGATCTTCTTCTTGTTTCGAAAGGAAAAATACTTTTGAACTTTACAAAGTTTCCGAACACCGGTCTCGAACTGAACGCAATAACTGATGCACGTGCAATGCGATTGATAGACAACTGTAAAGTAATTCCCGCGCTGCTGCCGCCCCCAGAGCGGGCGGCTCCGCCTTCCGTGTGCGCGCGCTTATATAGGTGACCAGGTTATTACACAAACATGGACAGATTTCTCAGTGCACTACAACTACATTTTAATAAACCGCCCCGCCCCCAACAGAACTTCAACAGAAATCTTTCACAACGTCTGACGTTCAACTGAAGTTTGAAGCCCAATTGTTGTCGCCTCACTAGTCGTGTCGAGGTTCTAAGTTTCGCTAACTCTACTTGTTTCACTAAACTTTTTTAAGTACCAACAAATGCATTGTCCTGGGTGTCACACATAAAGCATTGTAGTGAATTGAAAGCCATTCATGCATGATTACAAGTTTATGAGGTCGCTTTAAAGTCACCTTTACCTTGACATCGTGACACAATTTGCAACGCATCAACGCAATAGATGAAAAATAGAAACTTTTATAAAATCACATCTAATTAAAAAGCCATCGAATATTACTCCATACTTACCCGTCTACTTATTACAGAGTAAAAAATTTATTGTATAATTTTCTGATTGACATTGAGACTAACAATTTTTCAAACATATAGGTATCGTACAGTAACCACGAATAAATTCCCACGCAATATTGATTTCAATTGAACACCTCAAAGACAATCTCTACTCTGAAATGTATAAAAAAGTCCATACGTAGATTCCTACAGGTTGCATCATGGAACCGTCGACGAATGTTCCATGTGATGACGTGACTATGAATACATTAAAACCACGAATAGCGGGAGTGCGAGGGAAAAACGTTGCTCACTAGGATACACCCCGGGCATCTATAAACTGGTTAGCACTACAATTCCAGCTATTCTCACCACTACCCGTATCATAAATCGGATTGTGTCCAACCCTAAATTAATACACGAATTGAATAGTCCCGCGGGCATTTTGCTACGTAATCCGCTTAACAGTACAGACGTTGATTAGAAGAATACTTGAAGGATTCTCGAAGAAACTACTACGTATTGATGTTAGTCTAACGAACTGGTATAAAGCCCTTTCCACTAATCTGTATCCGAGCAAGCCAATCAGTAATGCATTGGTTGCGTTTAATCCATTAGTGTGTAGAATACTTGTGTGGTTTCAACTAGCCTTCGAACTGTCCTTGGGCACCAGAGTGCTTCTACAATTAGTAATTTGCAGTGATAACGATTTCAAAATCTGTTATACCTAGTGGCGGCGTATTTGAACGATACACACTGTGCTTATTTCGAAATACTAGAACTTAACGCAGGCCCTTTGATATTCTCGTAATTCATACTAACTTTATAATAAAGTCGAAAATGAAGTAATTTTCAATCCGAAGTATGTTTATTACACTACATGCAACAGCAAACAAGTCGACAAGGTTTGTTATTGTATGTATCACGCAATGATACGATGAACATTGTCATTCTGTTCACGTAGTCTCTGCTGCTGAATTTTACATGCGAAAGTACGCCGTGTATACGTCACCCACGTACTTAAATCAGGGAGTGCAAAACAAAAGGACGTACTTGAATAATCGTAGTTTGTCAAACTGGGATTTTGAAATCATCGTCCACATATTTTGAAAGGCTTATGAGTGAGTTAGTGATTCAGTGGAAATGTCAGATAGAATATTTTTGAATACGTTTTTCTAAACGTGTACTGTGACGTGGTAACGGCGATCAAACCGGTGCTTATTGGAGTTAAATACAAACCCACGAATGAGCCAACCTTGTATTATAGAACTAATTTGCAAAAAGGAACATTGATATAAAAGTATCGATTTTATGACAGATCTTTTCGCATTAAGTCTTTTATTTTATTTTATTAAACTTTAATTAATAAGAAGGGCTTTTTTCCCTAGCAGAAAATGTCAGCCCTATTATAGGATACAAAATTCAGTACAAAAAATGAAGCAGCTATATATAGGTTAAGGTAAAATAAGTTCCAACTGTTTCGCTTTCCAATGAGGTATCAAGCTGTTTATTTTTTAATTGATACCCTTCATATACTTTACACGTGTCAGTTTCAAGAAATTTCTTTCTTTCTTTTTCTAAGTATACATACGAAGAAGTCTTGAAGCAATGAAAGCATCTACAAGAAATATCAGAGAGTACGTAAACTATTATAAATTATTTTCCTAACGAGCTCCTTGAAAAGTTGTTACAGAGATGCCTTGCTTGTTAGTGCAACTGATAATACTTAAAGCGTAAATAATCATTTCCACGGGTTCAAATACAGCGGAACATCATAATATTTTCCGAGAGATTCAAGGTTACAAAGTATAAGTTCAACAGTTCTCATTGCTGTTCAGTTTATAGTG